AAGGCCAACCAGCAGTACTGATTCCAGAGATATTTCAGCCACTTGAAAGTCCAAACAATATGAAAACAACCCAAAAATTTCTGGGCTAAAGCAGTCTAAAAGAACAGCCGAATAGCAGTACTGATTTCAGAGAARTWTTGGATACTTTAACAGTCCAGAAAAATATAAAGAAAACATCCCAGAAATTATTAGGCACCACTCTCAATCTCTGATTTAAGCTCTAAATCAGGAACCAACCTGTTTTCTCCGATTCTTCCTGGTCACCAAACGGCTCTCCAAGAGATTTGAATCTTGGGCACCTTCTTCAATCTCCAATGACCTCCAAGAACCAGGCGACTCAAGCTGAAGCTTCCAGCCCTATAACAACTCTCATGTAGTTGGCTGGACAACACCTACATGAGAGCCCAAGCCAAGTTTAGGCCTGCTCTAATACCAAGAAGAAAAACAGTCCTTGATAATAGAGGACTGTTTAGAACAGATGCAAAAATCAAAAGAAAACAGCAGAAATCCTTCTTCTAAAGAAGAGAAGATGAAGAAGAAGATGGTGGCAATAAGGGTTCAGAGAAGGAGAGTTTCGAACCATAATCTCTCCTCTTACCCTTTATTAAGTTAAACTTTAATAATTTACAAAGAGGCCCTTAGTTGGGCAAGAAATTAAAAGAACATAACATAAAAAGAATAGGCCCAGAATAAGGCCCATTACAGTAAAGAACATAAAAATAAGAAAGGATAAACAGCCTATGGGCCATTCAGCCCATCTTCTCTACAGATTTGCACTACAAACAAACAGAGCCTTAAGTTTCTCAATGGCAAAGATGGGAAACTGATAAAGATACTGCTCCCCCTAATATACCAGGCTCTAGTACTCTAGGCCAATCCTAAGGACTTCTTAATAGTGAATGCAGGACAATACATTGGGTTCATGAAACTGGTCCTCTCTATATCATTTCCATCAAAAATATATGTCCAGTCATATGGAAAAGAAATGGTCAGAGGCAACAATGTCAGATATCCATAACGAATATGTATAAACAAGACATTTACAACCAATTTCTGCTTGGCATATATACTTGTAAAAAATGCATATAGGACATCCACAATTGCTTCTTACCAAGTTGAATATCTTCCAGTAGTTTCATTTGATTTAAGGCGTAAGAACTAATATTAGGTTCAACCAACCACCAACCTAATAGGATCACTAATTGTATTTTACAAGCACAACCAAAAACTTTTCACTACATTCCATGCAAAAACCTTCAATGGTTATTGTGATATTTTAGGTTCCTGGTTAAGTACCATTGTAATGTTAATATGTTATTACTGCTGTACCATGGTTGCAATAGTCTTATCTTTTTTAGCTACTAGAGCTACTAGATATCTGAGTTTAACTTGTGACTTCTATTGTTTTATATGTAAGACAAGCTCTAGAGACAAATTAGTTTTACCAAAATATATAGCCAATTGATACCAAATACCCCAAATTTCAGTTTAACTATTTCCCTAACAAGTAAAGACTCGGAGTTTTGCCTACTGTACCTTCAGCATCTCAGTTGCAGTAGGACGAAGCCGTGGTTCTTTTGTAAGGCATTTTGCAACAAAATCATGGAAGACAAGAGACCTGCACAAGCAGACAACCAAAGTGAATATATAGAAGCCCCAAGACCATGCGAACAATGTCTATAAAGGTGAGAGACCTGAAACATTACTTATTACTACTGTTAGAGAATATCAACCTATTCAAGGACCTCACCTAACAGCTTAAGCTTTTAGGTTGAATGGTTCTTTGAGATGGTATCAGATCCACTTTGACCAAGTGGTCTAGTGTTCGATCCTCATTACCCCCATTATAATTAATTAAGTTTCAGCACAAGGTATGGGTGGGCAAGTGCTTGTTCACACTTCAAGCCCAATGGGCTTTCGTGTGAGGGGGAATGTTAGAGAATATCAACCTATTCAAGGACCTCACCCAACAGCTTAAGCTTTTAAGTTGAATGGTTCTTTGAGAACTACAATGGTTACAACAACTGCAACTTTCTTTCTAATATTTAGAATAGCATATTATTAAAATATGATATGTATAGGTTATAATGTAGAAAGTAAAATAAATTAACATTTATCAAAAAAAAATGTAGAAAGTAAAATAACATTATTCAAACACAGAATTAAGATCCATAATAACTGTGTAATGTCTATCATAGTATTAATAACAAAACGGACATTATATTTACTGGCATCATTAAACTGCAAAAGGAAGCAAATTACTATCACCTTGGTTACTTGGCTATAACTATAACATGTAATCCATTCGCCTAACATGATAGCATAAGATAAAACCCAGCAACTAGACCTGTTCACAGGCTGGGCCAGGCCAGGCTTTGCCTCCTTATAAATAGAAAATCACCGGGTCCAAGCCCAAGCCCGGCCCTATATAAAGCCCGAAGCTCGATTTTGACAAGTATTTTATAATATATTAATTATATATTATTAGTAATATATTTTTTTTTTGGAAAAAGGTAAAGTAAATTTATTCAAAACAACACATACAAGCTGTGATCAGACCCAGAAAGGCAGTCTGACAAACACAGCAATTACATACTCCACCAGGAGTTAGAACGAAATAAAGCAGACAAATTCAAACTTCTAAACTCCTCAGAAACAGACCCCCAAGAGATTAACTTGCCCAACTGATGCTCATGGCTTTGAGAAAATGGTCCCACACCTGAGAAGAAAACAGGCAATGAATGCACAAATGATCTGTTGATTCAGGAATACTCCCACAAAGACCACAAGATAGATCCAAGATTTGAATGCCCCGCCTCACAAGGTTAGATCTAGAAAGACATTTGTCGAGGGCCATTGTCCAAATCAAAAAGTTGGATTTAGATGGACTTATAGGGTTCCAAATCTGAGTACTTGAAAAATCAGTGATACCCAATCTGCAAAGCTTAGAGGCCAAGGATTTGACAGAAAAAACACCATCCGGATTCCACTTCCAGTACCACTTGTCTTCTGAGAGCAGGTCAACCTTTTGTTTCTGAAGAAGAGTCAACATCTCCACTATCTCTTCAAACTTCCAATCAAATATATTATTAGTAATATATTATATATTATATAATATTCTATACATTTAATATATAATACTTTTTTCTATTAATTTTACTATTATATATATTATATTTCTATTATATATCTAATATTATCGGGTTGGGCTTGGGCTCAGGCCAGGCTTATTTGGGAAGCCCAAGCTCGGCTTGAAAAATAGTCGGGCCTGATTTTTAGAACCCAAGCCCGAGCCCGTGGACTTAAATTTTGTCCAAGCCCGATTTAGGACAGGACAGGCCAGGCCAGCCCATCAGGCTACCCGGCCCATGAACAGGTCTACCAGCAACCAATGTAATGCTGGCCTGGATTGTATATCTTAGTCAGGCAAATATGGGCCAGTGTTATCAAAGGATCAACTAGTCAACCAGCTAGTCAATGTCTTGTATTGTTGTATTTTCACAAATTCTCAGATTTCTCTCCAGCCAGATACTCCAAATGATAGCCACTCTCCAAACCACTTTTTTCTCTCCTGTTAAGGCCTCCCAAATGCCGACCTGTCAAAACCTCAACTATTCTAGGGAAAGCCCAGTCAACATTCAGGCTCATATTCAATATCTTGCAGCCATGATCTGCCACGCTGGCACATTGGATTGCTACAGTGGAGCTTGATGAGGGCATAGCTTATTGTTGATTATGTGGGATTGGTTCAATATATCTAGGTTTGCCCTTGCCCATGTTAATATTGTTCGGTTGGTGACCCCTCGCCATGTTGGTAGCATTGAGTAATTTCACAGCTGTTCCACTATCAAGCCAGATCAGAAAACATAAGTGGTTCCTGATATTGTGAGGACATCTTTCTTTTCCCTTTTTTATCAATAACAGAAAATTTTCACTAGTTGGAATAAAGCATGATAACAATCCAGGAGATAACAGCCTGGCCCCAATGAACTTGTTACATCACAGCCCAGAACAATTGATCCCTAGCAACCCCTTGCATGTCTATTAAATCTGCCAAGCTATTTGCAGGTCTTCTGACACAAGAAAAGGTAGTTTCAAGTTCCCTGGCAATGCACCCAAACTCCTTGATTACCAACTTTGAATCCCCTTATACCTCCATCTATCAAAGTTCTAATGCTTAGCTAGCCTCATCCCCTGGCTCCCTAAAGCCTCATAATGACATAACAGTGCAAGATTATCATTCCAAATCATATTCTTCCACTGTTTAAAGATGGCTATATTTGACTCCTGATAAACTGTTAATTAAGACCCATTTCATAAGAAGTCACTCTACTTTGCCATAGATCGCCCCCACAGGAGCAGAATTGTCTTCAAATACTTTATTAGTTTATTGTTGTGCTCACCCAACACATACCAACATAAAGCAGGCAGGACCATGTTCCAAACTATCCTAACCCTCTTACTAAATCCCTTCAACCACCAAGAAGAGATAAGGCTTGGGAGATCTTTTCGAGTTACCCATTGAGTGCCAAGAAGAGATGCTTGTATTTCTAAGGAAGGAGGTCCTGCCAGTGTCTCTATGGTCCTTTCTACTGTACACACACATTCCATAAAAAGAAGAACTAACTCCAAGCTACCCAAATTTTTCTTTCTTTTTTTTTCTTTCACTTAATGTATGATACAATCATAGAAATTTAGGGAAAAGGCACAGCTCCACTCTTATTCACTCTTCATTTTTTTCTTTCTTTTTTCTATCAGCAAGATAAGGAAGACAAAGATACAATGCCTAAGACCAAAAGAGTTACAATAATGCCCAAAACAGCTGCTGCCTATAGACTCCCTGCTTTACTAATGTGTCAGCCAACCCATTTGCAGTCCTTACCCAAGCAAAAGTGGTGTTCAGGTTTGACAGGCTTTCTATTTCCCTAAAAGCATGCCTAAAATACAAGGCACATTGAACCAGGTAGTGATCCAGGATACAACCAGTWTTTATCCCCTTCAACCTCCAAGTTTTTGAAGTTAGAATGCTTAGAAAATTTTAGCCTTGCAACAAAACCATCAATTCAGCCTTCAGTGGATCTCCAACCCCTACAGGTCCCGAATCCATAGCCATCACTCTTCACCTTTTTTCTCATGAACCTACTCCTCTTTTCTGATTCTTTAACTCAATTCCCTTCAAGGGTAGAAGAGTGAATCAAAGAATTCCAAGTTTTTTTATCAACAACTGAAACTTTATTAATGATTATAAAACAGACACAACAAAATTCAATTACAACAAAGCCCAAAATAGACTTTCCCTTTCCACCCCTTGTTTTGCAGGTGTATGCAAAGGAATTAGCAGTCCTCTTTACCCACAGTAGGTTTATCTCCATATCCCTGGTTAGCCACCTATACTTCCTTTTTTTCATTAGCAAATTTCCATATCTCATTCTCCTCCTTTAGCAGCCAACCTATAACTAGCTTAAAGTCCCCTTCAACAATCAGCTTTTCGATATTCAACTCCTTTACTCTTTTAATCCCTTCCATTACCACCAAAATCTCAGCTCTAAGTTAATCACCTACTCCAATGGGGCCTGAATAGAAAGCTATACCTTTTCCTCCCTCATTTCTGAAGATTCCTCCTATACCCAATGGACTTGGATTACCTTCACTGCTTCCATCAAAATTCAATTTAGTGAAACCAGCAACCGGTGGGGACCAAATTGGACTTGCCAGACTTAAGGGGAGATGAATCAGCCACTTCCCTCCAATTCTTGAACAGGTCATCTGAAAAAATACCCTCAAATAATTCGAAAGACATCACCCAGTGAACCACCCTAATAATGATGGTTTCAATGACAAAGGCTTCACTTGTTTCCTTTTCAGAGAAAATTCTTTGGTTCCTTTCTTCCCACACTATCCAATAAATAGCAGCCCTTATACATCTCCACAAAAAGGGAGGTAAACAAACTTTGTACATGTAGAGACTGATTTATGTTTCTTACATCTTTCCTTTTTTGGATCTTGGGACCACTCTTTTATGTTGTAACTTATGTACACTATCTTTTGTTTTACTCTTTCTTGTAAGATAAGGGCATAACTGTCCTTTCCTTAACATTGTATTCTTTCTTATATAAGTTAGTCATTTCTGGGCGTGTGATTCAAGAGAGAACACACCCTTTCATTCTCAGCTTTTCTCTGCTTTGATCTAAGTTGGCATGGTATCAGAGCAGGTTTTTCAACCTGTCCTTGATTGAAATCTGTTTAGGCCAGAGATCAACCCATCTACTTCAGTTTTGGATCTCGTAGGCTGCTGTACTGATCTGCACATCTCTGCTGTTCTTTCTTTGGAAGATCGCCATCAGAAATAGGGTTTCTTCTTTTTCCCTCAATCGGCTACTCCAAACACTGAAACTTCAGATCTGAAGTTGCCCAGGTCAGATCTATAATTTATTTCTGGTTCAGATTCCTTTTGAAGGGTTTTTTGCCCTTCTTCTTGTTCGACAGTCCAGAAACCTTTTTTGGACTGTTATCAGTTCGAAAACACTGTGTGGCTGGTTTCTTTATTGGATTTTGATTCCTCCTTTTGGAGTGCGATTAGACACACATATTCCATCAAGTTTTGGATTCATTTGGACC